CTACTATTAGTATAGTACAGTATGATGAAGTAGTGGGCCATGGCTGAAAAGCGGGTGACTTCTTTTTTTTTTAATTATAATTTTTTTTTTTTTAATTTTAAATTTGATTCACTTTCAGACGATTGGTTTTTTAGATTTTGAAAAACATAGTACGGTCTTTTGAGCGTGAATAGTATCAATAGTGACGTTGAGATAGAACACAAAGGTTTTGGTTATTGGTTATTGGTAGTGGATGTGTAAAGGGTGTTGGTATAGGGCGGTATAGAGATATAGAATACAGAGTACACCAACCATGCTGAACACATTCTTGAAAAGAGAATCTATTAGATGTCGAAATATACGGCCTAATGGTCATACTACAAATATATTCATCAAGAGAAGTTTTTTCCATAGCAAGACATTTGTTAGACCTTCATTACATTCAAAGGGATTGAAATATCCAAAAGGTGGTAATTTATTCTGGGCTTATTTGAATGCACCTGGTAATATGTTGTTTTTAACTACAAATTTCTTAAGTTTAGGTATATTGGTTACTTATAGATGTTTAAACACTATTGCTAATTCTGATAGAATAACTGAACATGAAATAAATAATTATGCTGCACAGATGTTAATGAAGAATGAGTTGATGAATATGGATTATTCTGGTGATAGATTTGATTTATTAAGACAACATTTACAATCTAAAAGTATACCATTGGAGAAAGAAGAAGACATTATTGAAGATCAAATTTATGAAATCGAAGATATGAATCAAGAATCAACAACGCTGAATACAAAACATGAAATGGGTCAAGATTTATTTGAAGAAGAAGATTTAATACCATTAACAGATGAAGAATTAGATTCTTATGGACCTGCCACTTCAAGAAATCTTGAAACTGAAAGATTCCAACAATTATTCATAAATAATCTTTTGTCAATCCATCAAATAAGGAATATGGTTAATATGATTTTCCAAGGAACAAACAATACAGATAATATATCAATATTGAATGATTTTTCCCCTGAAACCCAAGCTGATTTAATTAATGTATTATATGATATTATAAGTGAGATTAATCCAGATTCAATTCCTCAAATTACATCACCAGAAGATCTATTCAATCAAGTAACAAATAATAAAGTATTGACATTATTGAAAACTTCACATATCCCATATTTGAAAAATGAACTTTCTAAATATAATGATGAATATTTAAAAGATGAAGATATTGAAAATTTCAATCATTTTGGAAACACATCATTAACCAAAGATTCTATCAACAATTTAATGAAAAAACATGATAAAGATAGTCAAGATTTATATCTTGATTTGGCTTTATTATTAATGAATTCTAAAATACCAAATAATGTTGAATTAACTAAATTATTTCAACCATGTTTGAAAAAAATTGATGAAATGTCATTGACTAAAAACATTAATATTAAAACAAATCTTTCAATTGTGCTAAGTAGTTTATTTCAAAATTCCAAAGTGGAAAATTTAAAATTAAATTATAAAGATATTATTGATACTTCAATTGTTGTTAAAGATAAGTCAAATTTATCCAAAATATTAAAAGATTTAAATATTGATTATCTTTCATTATTAAATAATAATCGTAATAGAAATAAATTTGCTAAAAAGGCAGGTAATCAAACAAGAGGTTATAAAGATCAAAATTTAGCACGTGAAACTTCATTTGATGTTAAATTATATACAAGTGCAATCCAAGGGTTAATTGAATTTGAATTTGATACATTACATATTCAAAAAGCTATAAATAAAGTATTCAAAGGATTTTATTTAAGTGGTGGTAAAGGAAGAGTTTTATTTAGTAATGATTCCAGTATAAAAGATGAATCAATGACATCAAAAGCATTGAAAAAAATTCCATATAAATTAATGGAACAAGTTATTTGGTTATCAAATGCTAAAAAGGATTCATCATTATTAAATTGGTGTTTTAAATTAATTGAATTAAATAATTCATATAAATCCCATACTAAAGAAAAATTATTTTTACAAATGGAAGAAATTGCTAAATCAATTGGTGATGTTGAATTTTTACATAAATTAGAAAAGAGAAATTAGAATTAGATATATATATAACGACATTTAATGACATGAACATAGTTTAAAATAATTACAATCATTTGTAGACTCAAAACGTACATATAAAACAATATAAAACATTATATATATATACCTAAGACATTGTTAGAATATAACCCTCATAAAAAAAAAAACAGAATCAAAGATATAAATGAGTAAACCATTCTTTATAAATTTCATGCGACACAAGTTTCGTCCGATTATTTCCAAATCTCACAGAACATCAATGTGAACTGATTATAAGGAATACTTCAGTGGATTGACAGAGATTTTAATCATTAAAAAAGAAGGGTTTGAAGAATGGTTGGCTAAATATCTTTGGTTGAATAAACATACTGATTTGAATTCTAATTGAATTGATTTGATATAGATCTGATTGATCTTTTTTTGATCTTATTGGAGGTATAAAAGAAAGAAAGAAAGAATGGAAAAATGAAAATTTATACCGGAAAAAAACAAAAACTTCGTGTTCGAACCGAATAATTTTTTTTTTTTCAGATGAGCTTTAACAAAAATTTAAATATTTAATGGAGTTTTAATTGATTTGAAAGGAGTTTATAATCATATATAAATAAAGTGGTTATTGGTTTATTATTACCTAAAATGAAGTTCTTAACTACAAATTTCGTCAAATGTTCTATCAAAAGTTGTGATTCTTCAAGTGATTCCTTCCCTTTAAAATATCAAAATTGTAATTTGGTACAAGAAGAACAAGAATTTCAACCAGAATTCATTGCAAATATATTGGACAGATTAGAATGGAGTGCTATACTTAAAGTTGCTGCTGATGTGAGTACTTCAATCATATATCCATAAAATGGTTTTCATACTAACAATTATAGCTTGGAAATGCTTCATTACCACCAGTCAAACCAGAAAATATTGATTTAGAAGACGAAGAAAGTTTACCTTTATTAAAAGATCTCCATAGTCTTTTGATTGAAACCACAATAACTGAAGGTGAAATGCATTGTCAAAATTGTCAACATATTTATTATATCAAGAATTCTATTCCAAATTTCCTTTTACCACCTCATTTAGCTTAGATTTGATGCTATATTGAAGAACAAAAAAAAAAAAAATAGACATATGATAAAGATCAACGTACTGTATAATAGAATAAAACATAATGGGATATAATGTGAATATAGAGAAGAATATTTGGTAGAATAATGATTTTCCTTTGAGAACTAAATCACCGGACATATTGATGACATACAAATCTAATTTTAACATATATATATCTCCACCAAAACACATCGGAATTCAACCATTCCAAAACATATCCTGATACAATACCCCTTACTTTAAACCATTCCAACCACTTAAACACTCATATTCTCACTCCTTAACCCTTTTAATACCTGATTAACTATTATGCCAATCCTTCTCTCTTCAATGTGTCGCGAACCGCATTTCATTTTCTCGACTTCGCCGTCCAAAAAAATCAAAAAAACCAAAAAAAACTTTGACACTTTTAAAACAAAACGAGAGAAATTAAAATTATATTTAAATTTGTGAAAGTTTCTAATTTTCATTTAAAGGATTTCTTTGAATATTATTTGATTTCTGTTATTCTTTGTTAAACAATCATAAATTAGGGAAGTTATATATCCATAAGAATCACATTCTTTTTTTCAAATCAAATTGGTGTTGCGTTTGTTACTCCTTTCAATAACGGATCGCGTTTTATTTGATTCAAAATCAACAACAAACTTTCGCTTAAAATACAAAACATATTACAATTAGATTGTTATTTATTCATAATATATTCATCTCATAATAATCCATCATGCAAATATTATCCAATCTTCTCATATTAGGTTCCATAATTGCTGGTGTCTTTGCTGCTGATGATGATGCTTCAATCGTTGGTACTTGGGCTTCCAAATCAAATACTGTATTTACAGGTCCAGGTTTTTATGATCCTGTTGATGAATTATTAATAGAACCTGCCTTACCAGGTATTTCATATTCTTTCACTGAAGATGGTCATTTTGAACAAGCTTTATATCGTGTTACTTCAAATGCTAAAAATCATTCATGTCCTGCTGCTGTTATAATTTATCAACATGGTACTTATGAAAAATTAGATAATGGTACTTTAGTCTTGACTCCAATTGAGGTTGATGGTCGTCAATTATTATCTGAACCTTGTAAAGATGGTGGTGTTTCAACTTATTCACGTTATGATCAAGTTGAAACTTTTGAAAAATTTCAAGTTATGATTGATAATTATCATGGACGTTGGAAATTACAATTATATGAATGGGATGGTAATCCAGTTCAACCATTATATTTAGCTTATAGACCTGCTTTAATGTTACCAACTGAAACTTTAAATCCAACTGATGGTGATCATGCAACTGGTACTTCAACCCCATCAGGTCAAAGTTTAAGAAAAAGAGTTAGAAGATCTTTAGAAAATAGAGGTAGAACTAATGCTGTTCGTCAATCTTCATTTGATAATGATTTCTGGTGGTGGACTTCTGTTGGTTTAGTTTCTGTTGGTTCATTAAGTTATTTCTTTCTATGAATTATAGATTAAACAAAAAAATTCAATAAAAACACTTAAAATGCTCATTTAATTCTACATTTTTTTTCTTTTTCCACTCAATTATCAACTTTTTTCGAACATTGTTTAGTTTTATACAATAAAGATTGTTATTATTAACTAATTATCGTATTATAAATGTACTTTCTATTTATATTTCTGTTAATTACGTGCACTTACCGGATTCGGGAATCCTGTATAAGATCAAACGACCGTTGAAATTAACAACAAGACATATATCAACAAACAAAGCTATTATAATATAACTATATTATTAACTAGTCAAGATGCAAGGAGTTAGGACAAAGGGTGGATTACCAGCACCATACAATATGAAACCTAAAAAACAAGGGCTTTTAACAACACCAATGAAGAAATTAATTGGTTATTTATTTGTTTTATTTATATTTGGATTTATTATCTTTGAAGTTACACCAAAACAACAAAAATTTGATACTGAATATGAATTAGATCATAGTCAAGGTCAAGATGAAAATGTTGAAAAGCCATTAAAACAAGGAACAAAAGAAGCTGCTGGTAAACCTGAAATCAAACTTGCAGGTGATGGTCAAGCTACAAATGATAAAGCTGATATCCAAGATCAAAATAATCTTTTACAAAAAAAGAAAAATATAATAGCTGAAAATGATATAAAAGCAAAGTTAAATGCTGATGCAAATGCAAATCATTTAATATAGATAGTTACAAATCAATAAATATTTGTTGTTTCCCTGGACCACTACACGTACATATAAATAAGTCTCATTTCAACATCATTATTCATATTTGTCTAGCTATATATATATATATGCAAAAAGATATCCCTTTTATGCTCTAACACCATGTTGTTGAGCATCTTGACGTTCTTGCCAAACAGTTTTACCACTACAACTACAAACTTGTTTATCATTTTCCCAAACCCCGGCACTTCTTGCAATAACACCAGCTAAAGAACTTGGATTAATTGAATTTTGTAAATTTGAAACAATCATACTTCTACCAATTAAATCTGTAATTTTTAAATTTGCACTAATAAAATTTTGTCCTGAATATAAACCTGATAAATCACTTGGTTCATTAACTTCAATTGGTGGGAATTCATAAAATAATCCACCTGTTGATGATGCACCTTTAGAGATATCACCTGAATTTCTAAAACTTGGATAATATGTACCCTTTGGTAATCCATTTAATGTAATATCAACTAATAATTTCCCTTCATTTGTTGAAACAATTCTAGCTAATCCTTTAACAGGTGCAAATTTATCTTCTTCATTGAAACTTTCCAGTATAGAAACAGCAGCTGAATTTGGTTGACCAGTACCTCTAATAATTGCATCTCTACCAGTTTCTTGAATAGCTTTAATAATAGTTGATGGTGCAGTGATACCTTCAACACTAACTCTTTGATTTTGTAAATCAATATCAAATCTGGTCAATCCGTTAACTTTTGATAAAGCTTGTTTAACTGAATCAACACAACTTTGACATGTCAATTCGACATTATAAACAGTCTGTTGTAATTCTGTTAATAATTCAAATTCTATAGTCATGATGGTGTTTTAATTCTTATTGTAGTATATTACTAATACTAATCAATCAATTCTGATCAATCCAACTATTAAAAACCATCCTTAAAAAGACTTCATACTTACTTCAAATGACATTTCACAGTATTTATACTTTCAATAAAATCAAGTTTATCCCTCCAATCCGTAATTGAATTAAAAGTGTCACCCACAAGGTTGATATTGAGCAAATAAATCATAGTATAAAATTCAAGTTTGAATAATAACAACGATAAAATGCGCTTTGTGTGGTGAACCAAAAATCGAACGATCGCTAAAAAAACTGTGGATCGTGATTACATAACAGATTACAAAGCAGTATAACCATTAAAATATTTTATAGAATGTACTATTTTACTTCTTTTCCAATATATATATATATAACACAATTCTATGCAATTCCTGAAATCTTCTTTGCGTACATGTAACAACAAAAGGCAAATGCAAACATACCAGCTGCTAAACTCCAAAACCAAGCTAATCCTTCATATTCTTGACCTGGAACTAAAACATTCATACCCCATAACCCTGTAACAACATTCATTGGTAATACCACAGTACCCAAGATGGAAATTTTCCCCAAGACATCATTCATATCATTATTAACTCTAGTCATATCAATATTGATTTGTGCTAAATAATTTGAATGAGAACGTGCTAATAATTTTTCATAATGATTTAATGATTGAACCATTGTTACAATATGATCTTGAATATCTCCCAGATACATCCCAATTTCTGATCTTGGAGCAACTTCCCATTGTTCATTACATCTTTTCGCAAATCCTTTAATAACATCGGCTTTTGAACCTAATAATCTTAATAATGACATAACTCTTTTACGACATTCACCAATTCTTTTCAACATATCACCTTTTTTCTTCCATTCAATAACATTTGAAGCTGTACTTCTTGATGAAGATGATGATATTGATTTAATGGATCTTTTATCATCAAATCTAGTTGAATCTCTTCTACTTTTTTTACTCATTATTGATCTTGCAGTCCATTTAAAATCATCTTCTTCATCACTTGAATCATCTTCTTCATCTGAACTTTCATTCATTGTTAATATAGAATCTTCAATTGCATTAACTTCATCTTCAATACTTTCAATCATTGGACCAAATGCATCTGTAATATCATCAATTAATGCATAAGCTATCCAATCTGCTGTAACAGTTAAATATTCACGTAATAATCTTGCTCTTCTTCTAACATTAACCGGATGTGGAGTTGGTGCAAAATGGAAAGTTAAAACTGCATTTCTGAACACCAGGATATAAACATTTAATGGTTCTAATTCACCACCTTTTGGTTTATGTCTATCACCAGATTTTTTCTTAAATTTTTCTAATTCAATTTCACGTGCTCTTCTTTTAAAACTTGAAGTTTAATGACTTATATTATCGAAAACTCCAGATCTTGAATGGGTTGATGATTGTCTTCTATTAAATAATTTATTGAAAAAACCAGAATTTTTATTTTGAGCTTCAGATTTAATTTCATTTAATCGTTCACGGATCTTGGCTTTTTCATGAACAATATCAAATGATCTAAAACAAATAAAATAATAATCTTTAAATAGTTCAACTTTTTCTCTTGTTTCTCCCAAGAAAATATCTTCTGTGGTTAAAGGATGGATTGAAAAAGCTTTACTTATAACTTTCATTTCTTCTTCTGTAGGATTCAAAACATCTAACCAAAAAGGTGAAGTATGATCATCTATTTCTAATGATTCCTCAAGAACTTTCAAATCAGATAATCCTGGAGTTGATTCCTTCACCGATGTTGAAGTTGAATTATTATTTGTATTACTACCAGTACCAGCGCCACCAACGATATTAGCAGCATCTTGTTTTCTATATTCTGAACTTAGGAATAAATCACTAAAATTTTGGCCAGGTTGTAATAATCCAGAAATTGTTGGTGAATGAACTGTGGAATCTAAATTTTCTCTAAAGTAAGTAAATCTAAAATGTTCAGGATTATTATTAACAATTTGTGGAGGATAATTAATTGTTTTCAAAAATTCAGTATTATTTAATCTTTTCCTATCAAATGGATTAATTTTTGGTGGTCTTAATCTTCCACCATCAAGAGTTTCAGTTTCATTAATTCTTTGATTTCCCAACATTCTTGGTGCATCAACTTTTGTTACCATTGGATGTGTAAACCCCACGCCTTCACCACCTTGAGAATCTGGAGGATTTGAAGAAATATTATCATCAGCAGAATCTTGAAATCTAAAATTAACTTCATCAGTTTCTCTCATAGCTTCATCTTTTAATCTTGAAGTTTCTTCTTCATAAAATTCTTCTAAAACTTGTAAATCAGGCCATAATCTTTCACCTTCAATATCATCTATTGGATCCAAGGGGAAACAAACATCAGCTAATGAAGAACTTTCAGATGATCTTCTTGAAGATGGTTTAGAATCAAAGTCACTATCATGATCATGAGAATTCATATGTTGTTGATCTTGTTCATCATGATTTAATTGATCAATATCAATACTAACAGGATTTGCTGCACTTGATGATGAACCTGAATTAATAGCACCATAACTATGAAATTGTGATTGTTGTTTATTTATCCATCTTTCAGCATAACTTGGACTATGAGGTTGATTAAATCCACTAGCATATTTATTAAAAGGATTTGCATTTTCAGTAGAAGCTGAAGTTTTCATTCTATCTTTATTTGGTCTTGTTGAGATTGAACTTCTTTTACCCAATTTTGAACTTGGTAAATTTCTTGGATCATAACTTGTTAAGTCTCTAACAGGGTTCCCAAATTCTGCTAAATGATGACCCACAGAACTTGATCTTGAAGCAGATTTACCTAAAGCATCAACTTCATATTCTGAAGCAGCATCATGTGCATTAAAATTAAAAGTTGGTTTACCAGAAGGACCTGAGAATGTTAAACGTCTTCTTTGATGTGGTTGATGTGGTTGATGATGATGATGATGATGATTACTTGTATGTGATTTAGGAGATTTTGATACCTGTTCTTTTGGTGAAGGTGATGTAGATGGGAAATATGATTGTTTCTTAGCTTCTTGTGATTGTGATAGCAATGGTTCAGTATCTTCTTGTTCTTCGTGAGAAGAACGTGATCTGTAGGACATGAGTGGATATCTTTGAGCCTGGATTTAAATACTCTGTGAAGCAATCAATCAACCAGTGTCCTTGTCTTCCAAGGTCTAAACAATATTGGCTCTGCGATGATTTGAGACTATTTAATTTATTTCTTCGCTTTCTGTATATCAAATTTAGGCCTTGCTGAAACTGAGATGGAAATCCGAGGGGTGATTTAGTATGGGAGACGTCATGTGATTAGTAGTCGGAATTGGAAAAATTATATATACTATCAAATATTTATATTTTCAATTTACAAATGAATTGATTAGTTTATGATTGTTTTTAATGATTGAATATCATTATATTGGTTTATACAATACCCTTTTAACAGTATATTTTACTTTTTTTCCCCCCAATAGTTTAGTCTATTCTTCTTCACTAGCTGGAAGTTCATCTTTAACTTCATTCTTTACATTTTCCTCATCAGCATCTTGTTTTCTTTCTTCTTCAGGAACAATTGGATCTGATAATTTTGGTTTCTTACCACCATCAAGTGCAGTTAAAGCATCACCGATAGCATCAAAGTTACCAACCAATAAGTTCCATTGATCTTCAGTCAATGAAATACCCTATGGTTATATGTTAATATTACACCAACTCGAAAAACACTAGAAAGTCTTGATACTCACCTTCTTCCCCGGTCTCAATTCACCATCAGCTTCATAAAATTCTCTTATATCAACGAGATTAACATTTTTAAACTTTCTCACTGTGACTCTTTTGTTTTTCCCAAGCTAAATATCAGTTTTATTAGTTTTCATTCAAAAAACCAACCATTTCACCATTTGAAACGGTTCAAAATGGTTCACATCCATATCAACACATACATCTGCCACTGCAGTACTATCAGCATTTGAACTTCCAGAGCCTGCTGAACTGTTTTGTCTTTTTTGTCCTCTTCCGTAAGCCATATTGTGTCAAAAAAAATTGTATTTATGCCCCAGAATAATTTCTAAAATGATCAATGTTTATTCAATTGTGCTCGTTGAAAAAACAGAAACGATTGGTGAGTTTGTTAATATGAATGTAATTGATCACTTTGGATAATACCTTTTTTATATTACACAATTTCAATCAGTTTCATTCAATCAAGTTCTAACATTTGAAAGCAAATTTGAAAAAAGTGGCGGATTTCGAATTTTCATGAAAATCAAAGTTTCGAGATTATCTAGGTATTAATATTTAACGGTTTATAATTGAACATCATAGAAAGATACCAATACATAAATTATAGAGTTATAAAAATGTCTCTCAAGGATCTTAGACCAATTGGACCAACAAATATACCAGTTTCAGGTAAATTGAATGATTTACCTAAACTTTTACTCGGAGGTGCTGTTTTCAATCAACAATTTAATGACAATCCTGAAAATTTACCTGTTGAAGAAATGTTAAAATTAGCATTTAGTAAAGGTATAAATGGTATTGATACTTCACCATATTATGGACCTTCAGAAATCTTATTGGGGAATGCATTGAAAAATATTAAACCTGAATTTCCAAGAGAAAATTATTATATCATTACTAAAGCTGGTAGAGTTAAACTTAATGATTTTGATTATAAGCCAGAATCAATCAGGGCATCAGTGGAAAGATCATTGGAAAGATTAGATACAGATTACCTTGATGTTGTTTATTTACATGATGTTGAATTTGTTTCAGAAAATGAGATTTATGAAGCTTTAAAATTATTAAAATCATTGAAATCTAAAGGTGTGATTAGACATATTGGTATTAGTGGATATCCAGTTGATTTCCTCTATAAAATTGCTAAAACTTCAGCAGATCATCCAGAAATTGGTCCATTAGATGCCATTTTATCATATTCTAATTTCAATTTACAAAATGAAATACTCAGAGATTATATTGATAAATTTTATCATGATGCTCATTTACAAAAATTACTAACAGGTTCAATACTTAGTATGTCACTTTTAAGATCTGGTCCAACACATGAATTTCATCCAGCTTCAAAAGAATTAAGAGACAAATGTCAACAAGTTGCACAATTAACAAATTCAAAAGGTGTTGAATTAGCTGATTTAGCTACAAGATATGCAATTAAAGAATTTTTACCTTATGGTCCTGTTGTATTAGGTGTTAGTAATCTAAATGAATTAGAAAATGCAATTGATCAATATTGGAATGCTGTTGATGGTAAAATTGATGATTCTGAATTGGTTAAAGAAGTTAAACAAGCTTTTGGGAAACATTTAAATGAAACTTGGGAATCTGGTATTCCACATTGAAATATAATCTACAACGCAGCGGTAGAACATATACTAATTCTAATAGAGTAATATATATATATCATGAATTGAATATTGTCGTTCTAGACTTTTATGTATACAAATCAATAGCTAAAAGAGAACCTTTTTTTAATCAGACTTCTTATCAGTAACAACACCTGAAGTCTTGTTCAATTTTTCACTTAATTCATCATAAGCTTTTTCTAAACTTTTCTTTTGTTTCTTGAAAGTTTCAATATCTTGTTCCTTTTTAGTTAATTCATCATTTAATTCTTTAACTTTAGCATCTCTAACTTCCTTGCTTGTTTTTTCTAAATTAAATTCTTCATATTTAATTAATCTTCTAATGATATTGAAAACTGTTGGAATGGCAATACCAAAGAATAAAACAGCACCTGAGATATACAAATTTCTTTGATTATAGAAAATTCTAGCCATAACATCTGGTGTTTGATTATAACTTGATTGTAAATATCTTGGATCATAAGTATTTGAAGTTTTAAATTTGAAATTTTTTTGAAATGAATCAATGAATAATAATCCAACTAAAGTTAATGAAATATAAACTGATGTTTTAACTTCACGACTTGAAAATAAAAATTCATAAGTTTTCAATGATTGTTTACGGAATCTTAATGGTAATGGTAAAACCAAGACTGTTGTGATAAACATTTGTGTCAAAAGTACACTAAATAACTATCAAAAAAACATCAAAGTTAGCGCTTATTTCATATTATCAAATAAAGCATGGGGAAATACTCACAATAGACATATAAACACTCATCTTTGGTTTGTAATTGAACTGATTTGAACTAATCTTATGAGTTTTTGAAAGAAGTTGTTCAATTTGAAAGTTGTTCATTTTGATGGCACTGCGTTTTTGAATTCTGAAATTCTGCAAAGTAGCAAAAATCAAGCGCCATTGACTTCCGGGGATTTTTAATCAAAATCACGTGAATTGATAAATGAATTCCGGGAAAGTTTATACTACTTTTTTTATTCAAGTATTTGAAATTAATTTTGTATTAAATAATTTGACTCTATAGTAAAATATAGATTATTATACATATTGTTAACTTACCAGACTACCCTTGTTTAGTTAACAAGACCAGAATATAAGTTCTTAACAAAGTAGAGTGAAGCAATAAATGCAACAGAACCACCAATTAAACCTAATAAGGATGAGATTGCAATGTTTTGTAATAAAAAGATAACCATTGAAGCATGATCACCAAATCTGAATTTTGTTAAATAGAATGAGTAAATAAATGTATAAATACCCACTGCAAATCCACTCAAGAATGAATACCATTGCCATTTCCAATTACCAATTGATAATGAATGATAAACATTTAAAATACTAATGGCTGTAGTTAAAGTTAATAACAACAAGTATGAAATAGTCAAAGTGTTATTGGAATAGAAATGTGAGTACCATAATGTGATATAAACTGATGATAATGGGATTAAGATAACACCGAATGGGAAAATACCTGAAATAATCATATTTGGAATTGGTTGGAAAGTAATTGGTAAGGCTGAAACTTTTTTAGCAATATCTGATGATGGATATGGTTGAACTTTTAAAAATTTCAAACCAATGAAAAATGTAACTAATGTAATACCAATATAATAAGTTGAAACATGTTCATAAACTTTCCATGAAATATGAGTTGGTGATTCAACTGAAGCATAAGCGTTATTAAAGAATCTAATGTAAATAAATGTTAATACTGGTAGGGCAAAACTATTTAATAAAACAGTTTGAGTTAATCTCTTTTTGAATGAATCAACTGATGATGAAGAAGTGGCAAACTTCTTGAAGAAATAAGTATTAATTAATGATGGGATTGGTGTAGTTAAAATATAAGCTGAAACGATAGTTTTAGCAACTTTATTTTCAAATGAATGTGTATCAATAGCACCGACACCTAAAATCAAAATAATTGAAGTCATAACAATAGTTAAATGAATACCATTTGCCACTAAGGCATATAATAATGGTGAAGCTGAAGGAATTCTGAAAACATCATTGATTAATGAAGGCCATGAAAATTCAATTTCATCAAAAGTATCATCAGAAGATGATGAACGTTCTAAAGATTCATTATTTTCATCAATAGTTTTAGATTTTTGTCTTGTTTTATAAATGAATTCTAATTTTTCAGTATTAATAGCATTTGAAGCTGTTAAATAAGTATAGAATGCAACAATTAATGTTAAGACAGAGAAAATAACAACAACAGCATTTGAAATGAATGGTTTAACAACATCATTATGATATAATTCCCATTTATCATTCCATTTATTAACATGAACTTCTTTCCATAAAATGTCATAACTGACTCTATTACCATTATAAGAATTATCATTATAACGTAACATTAATGGTGGAGTTAACATACAAGCTAATGGAACAACTGGAACTCTTGAAATAGATCTTGTTGAAACTGTAGCATATAAGATTTCATATTCTAAACCATAAGAAACGTAATAAACAACAAATTGGAAATGATTGAATAAATGAGGAATCTTATCTAAGTCTAAGTAACCCATTGGAACACCATTATCAATATAAAATTTCTTTGTTTGTGAATCATATAATTCACGACCAACTGGAACATCATCAATGAAGAAATTTAATTTATAATTTCTCTTGATTAAATTATTAATTAATGTAACGTTAGCTTCATTATAATTTTTATCACAAATATGAGCACATTTTGCACTACCATTTTGGAAAGTTGTAGCAATTGGAGCATTTTGGAAATGATTACCAAAAAATTCATCTTCTTGATAAGTATAATTTATTGGTTTTAATAAATTATATGGATCATTTTGATCTTTTGGTGCACATGAATCTAAAGTTGGATTATAATAGTCAATTGGGTATAAATACAATTTATCATCATGTGAATTACCACCTGGTGTTAAAGGTTTGACACTAATTGGGACAGATTCATCTTTTAAATATAAGTTTTTGGCATTTGTGATTTGAAGAGCTAAAGTGAATGCAAGGATTTTGGATATTATTTGAACCATTTTGCCATCTGATTATATATATATGGTTTGATTTCTTTGATGACAAGTATTATTGGGAAAAGATGTGATATCTATATTATATTATGATTTATTGAATCTTAGAATTTTATCAATCAATGCAAACAAAAAAAAATGACAACACAGAACTAAAGCAAGTGTAAATTCTCAACAACTTCTTCTTGAAAAAAAATATTTGGTACTTCAGAGCCTAACAAACCAAGGTTAAAAGCGTCTGATATGTTTCTGTATTGGTACTTTCAAGACGTGAAGAAAGAAAGAATTATAAACTTGATTGCAATTTGTACAAATTATAATGATCCAGAATCTTAGTGTTTTTTCAAGCGCGATTGCAGAAGATTTTCAGGTCCTACAATTTCTCTTTCTAGTGAATTTTTAGACAATTTCAGACAGAACTGTAAGAGTGTGCATTTTTTACATCGTCAGCGAGTCTTGCATTCACCGAGGACTAGGGCTGCGTTAAATCGCGTGAATGCCAAGAGTTTTAACTGAAGGAGACAAATCTTGAAAGTATTAAAAATTTAAAAGACATATAAAGATGTAGTATATTTATAGCATACTTAATATCAACAAGTGATTAGAAAGTTCCTTGAACTGAAAAGAAAGCACGAAATATCGACCAAATTAAAGTTAATCCACAGTATGGGGTCTACATTGTCATACTTTTTCGGGATTTTACACCTCAAAATCATTCAGGTACACTCTTGAACTTTGATCCGCAAATTTCCTCTGACGTTGTCGACAGCTACATATAAAATGTCCCAATTTCAAGAGTCTGAGACTCTGAGATTCGAAAAAATCGGCCGCGCTCGTAATTTTAAAGAGAAAGTTAAAGATCTTGAAGATTTCATGAATTTCTCTTTACTTCCGCCATATCAAAATTTCAGTCATAACTTATAAGATCTTATTCCCTGTAAGTGTTTTGCGATGCTATGATATAGAAGCCGGAATGAAGAGCGGTATGTTCATAATGGCTATACCCATGAATATGTTTTTTACAGGTAGGCTTTGGTGTCATGATTATCAATCGAGGAGTCAGGATGGTTGATTAACTTATATGTAACTTACCAGATCTAAATTATAGGTCTAAGTCTTGATTTTCTGAAGCTATCAACTGAAGATCGGCTGCCTGCAAGACTAATTATATTTAAAACCAACGCACCAAATTTGCGTGTTATACAAGTAATAATAAATGGGCATTGGGTAGAGTAGTAAATACGATTCAGGAACCACAAAATGTAGCCACTAGTGGTGCAAGTTGCTAGTTGCGATCTATCATATATAAATCTGGAATTAATCAATTAATTGAAGCTTATGTGGAAGGAATTCTAGCTAGCCGAGCTCTTGATGGTATATCTCGATTCTCGATTCTCTATCTTATATATATAGAAGCGTCATGCTACTAGCCGGAAATAAAAGCTCAAGTATATCAATATTAATGCTTACTTGCTTAAGCGTCCTTAATTAACCTGTTGTCGAAATTGTGATTGATCAGTCAAGTTGACGTTCAAATATTGTCTTGAACTTTATTTAATTTGTTAAGCTGGTAACTTGAAGATCAAGCGCTCTAAGCTCACACGACCTATCATATTCTACAAGTACCCTAAACTTAAAAATAATTGACTCCTGACCCGTTAGACAATAATATGGTTTGAAATTTATATACTGCACGGGCTATATCAACCTTTATTTATATGATAGCTTATAAGACGTAAAGCTAGCCAATTTAATATATGAAATTCATGAACGTTGAACGTCATGAAAAAGATCTTATAACGGTTTTTAACTACATCTTTCGCTGCTGTGTACCAAAAGCGTTTCAACGTTACAAGTTACAACTTACTACTTATAAATTACAAATACAACAAGTTATGATTCGTGAATCGTGATAATTCGTGATATTAATTTGTAAGTGGAAGTTATGATTTGGTTTAAGATCTTCTGAGCTTTTTCCTGTTTGAGTTCCGCTTTTCACTGCATAATCCTGCGACAGTAACCCCCGCAAGTCTTGAGTCTTCGGGAGTCACTAGACTAAATTTATATGGTATATGAAATTATAATTGTCCAGGTCCAAGAAATGTAATTATATAAGGAATGCTTGAAAATTTATTATAATTATAGAGATCTCAAAACAAAATCATTTCTCTCTTCTTCTCTATTAATTAGCCCTTGAATGCTATTTTATTGAAGCTTCTGAATACCATCCATTTTCCATCTAAAAGCATAGCATGAAGCTCCAGAGGTATATTGTCACACTCGCTTGCAAACCTATCATATACTTGACCCAATTAGTTCAAAGGTCTAACTTTGAAAACTTACCAACAGCATCAAATTTGAAAGATGGATTCACAACTTATAATGGATATTCACCAAGACAAAGAAATATCACATTAAAATCAAAATTATTAGTACTCCTAGCCCTGTTATTCATTGGAACCAACTTTTTCTTAACTCATTTGATCTTTAATGTCAATAATTATGCACAATTTGTTGAAAGTACACACAATTTAGATTTATATTTAAAATTGAATAGAAGATTCTTACAAGATTTAAATTTCATGTCAATATTTAAGATCCCATCCAATTCAAAACAAGTTGGTATCACTGATCATGTTGGTCATCATGATTTCAATCACAATCGTTCAGTTACTGCATTTATATCTCATATGAACCACATATATCAACATGAAAAAGACCCTGAGAAATACTTACAAAATCATGCTTTAAATTTCCATTGGGCAGACTGGATTGATTTAGCACCATCTGCACCATTTGTCGAGATTCATGATACTTTGAAGAAGAAATTACATAATAATGATTATGAAGTTTATAAATTTGTTCAAAAAATGTGTGATTCTAAATTACGTGATAAAAGAGAACCTTGGACTGATCAATTATTATTTGATAATCATGTTTTCGCTCATGAAGATGTCCTAAATATTGGTATTTGTGCTGCTATTGAAAAATATTATTATAGTCCATTACCTGAACGTGTAATGTTGGAGACTGATTATCATTATTTTACTATGCCAGTTAATCAACAACGTATGAAAAAACCATTAGGAATTGAAGGAATTTCACAATTATATTACAATACAGATCGTTCCATATCAAAGGGACAAATTGAAAATTTTGATCCAAATGATCGTGATCAATTAGTTGAAGATTTGAGAAAACATTACATTCAAGCTGGTTATGATCCAGAAAGTTTCAATTTGAAAGAAAGAGTCACTCAAGATCCATCATATTTCACTAAACCAAATGTTCCAGCATTGATTAAAGAATATGAATCCAAACCAAAATTATCAACAGATGATCAAAAATATTTGGA